TTTTTTTTTTTTTTTAACACAAAAGCAGTTTTATTTTCTTTAAATACTTAAGACAGGGTCCAGGATGGCTTCGTGGGCTCAGGCTTATGGGGAGGGCAGCAGGCAGGTAACAGCGGAGGAAACCCAGGCCAGACCTGAGTGAAGGTCAGGTGGTCGGAATGGCAGGCTATTCGGAGGAAGGACTGATGAGTGCATCCAAGTGGAAAGAAGTTGCTCTTACGATGCCTTTCTCAGCCAGTGTAGGCTTTTTTTAAATAAGGAAAACACCATTGTACAAATGTGTCCTTTATTAATAAACACACGTTTGGGAAGAGTGTACTTTCTAAAATGAGCTGGTGTAGCTCTGAATGTTAGTGGAGCTTGAAAGTTTTTGTTATGGAGCCTGCCAGTGATCAGCTTCCCTTTGGGGCATTACTCCCACAGGGCGACCAGTGTTGTCCTTTAAGAGACTTTGCGAAAGTCAACTTTCAATGCTGTCCCCTTCTACAAAATTATAAAACTAATTTGGTTTTGCTCAGAGTTCATTTTCTGGTTGCTTCTTTTCTGTTTTGGAAGTATATATGTTACTGCCTGACCAGTACTGTTCCCCATGATTAGGATACATTTTTATTTAAAATGTTCTATCTTGCACCCTTTATAAAGTAAGAAATAAGCACATTACAGTGATGTTGCTCCTGTTTTTGTTTTGTTGGTTGTTTTAATATCAGTGACTCTGAAATTTGCTATTAGAAAGGGGCAGTTGATTATAGTTTTTTTTTCCTTTGGGAAACTATTTTTTTTTTTTAATGGCACCAGTCACTGAAGGGATAGAGTCAAGGTAGCAATTTCTGGTACAGTAGGTCCACAGAGACCCCTATGGTGCCTCCCCAGTGTCATGTATTACCTGCCAGTAGTTACATGACATGATAAAATTAGAAGGAAACAAATAGCCCAGTCCCCTCAGAAGTTATTCTCTCCTGATCTGCTGCACTGGCCTTAAAATTGCTTTCTGGTGGAACCATTGAGCCTAAGACCTTTAATGGCAGCTTTAAGAATCTTCTCTCCTGTTGCTAAACAATTAGGACAAACCCACCAGGCTGCCCCAGCCCCTGCTAACCTGTCATCTCTGCTGCATAGTGACAAGTCAACACCTTATAGGGTTAAGAACCTCCCCATGTGGTCACTAGGCCCCTAGGACTGGCAGGCAGCAGGTGCTCCATGAATATTTCTAGAATGAACTAGCTCTACTACAGGGAAAGCCTGAGGGTGTTGTGTGGAAACTTCCAGAGAGCAAACCTGAGCCTCAGGGTGGGAATCAGAGGGTGCTGGGGATGAGCTGAAGCAGCCCAGGATGGACGTGCAGCTCCTGCCAGAATCCCTCACTCTGAAGGCCAAGGCCTCCTTTCTACTCAGCCAGACCAGGACTCATTTTTATTCTCATTGGGCCCCAATAAACTTAAACAGAAAAAGTTATCTGATAGAACCACGTTACTTTCCCCAGACCTCCAGGACATTCATCACGCTGGTCTCTGGATTTTCTGGCTCCTTCACACATTCAGGGCAATAACCGTCTTTTCTACGGATTGTGGACTCAGCTACAAGGATCTTCTGAGGGCCTAATCCCTAGGTCACCCCATTTTGGGGCTTGTGGCACAAGAACCCCGACCTGGCTTGAAAGTTGACTAGGAAACAATGCTGAGGAAAAATAATCTGTGCCAGTTTAAAACACAGAGCCTGAGAATGCCTGGAGAAAGCCGTACATTATCTCAGGCCGAGCAGCAGACTGGGACAATGTGGGAATTCTCTGACTTCTTAAGAAGGCTTTTATTGATTTCTAACAAAAGGACACATGCAAAATGTAAAAATGCCAAAAGATAGTGTTAACAGAATCTCAAGTCTGCAGGAAGATTGGATTATAGAGAGAGGCCAGGCAAAAGGCAGAGGGCTGCCAACAAATGGCCCACGGCATATTTAGAGAGGGGGAGGGGAAACCAGTTCTATCCCTGCAGGGGAAGTAAGCCAGGTTCTCTAATCTAACTGCACATCAGGAGTCAGAGAACTTGGCTCTATCTCAGTACCATCCCACCTGCTGAGTCTCAGCCCACAAGGATAATCCTGTCTGGGTGCCTCCAGGCTCCTTCCATCTTCCATGGTCTTAATGAGCTTCCAGGGATGCACTGGTGTGAGCTTCCAGGGATGCACTGGTGTGAACTCTTTCCCCTGGATACCCCTGGATTGAGGCAAGGTGCCCTGCTGAGAAGTCTGGAAGGTTATAGAGCCAAAGATGAAAGATTATTCTGAGGCATGGGATGAAATGGAGTCCTGGTTTGTGTAATTAAAATGGTTTTATTCCACCTGGGTACAGGTGGGGTGAGATCTCCAACTGGGAAGAAATGCACATGTGGGTAATGGCAGATGGGGGTTTTAAAGGTCGGAAAGTGGGGTCGGGACATTCCTTTTCCTGGTTGGACATCTGTTGGAAGGGTGGGGGTTGGCCCATTTACCTTTTCTAGGTGGGATATCCAGTGAGAAAGGGTAGAGTTTGATTCTTTTAGGTGGGCCCACCCTATTTGGGCAGGGTTTGGCCCTATCAGAAATCAACCTATCTATCTCCACATACCCAGTGCCACTGAGCTCCCGGCAGCTTCTCTGAGTGGCCCTCATGCAGCCTCCAGGCTCCTTCAGGTTCGGTGCAGGTTGAAGCTCTGCAGGAACAGGTGTCCTGCTCCCCCTAAACTCAGCAACCCCAGAAAGCTTCTTGCTTCTTTGTTCTCCCCCAAAGCCCCCTGTTCATCCCCAGAGATGACCACAACCTGTGTGCTATGGGTGCCATGTGTCTTTCTTCTGTGACATGTGAAGTCCTCCTAGGCAGGGCCAGGTCTCATCCTTCACAGAGCTGGACACATGGCCAGGGTTGCAGGCAGGTCACAAACCAGGAATTTCTGACCTCTATAACCAGCCTCCTTCCTCCTCCCCATGATGGGGATGAGATGCCCCCAAATGTGTTACCTTGGAACCTGAGAGCAGCACTGTGTCCTCGGCCAGCTTTATCCTGGTGCTCCAGGCCCTGCACCACTACCGATGACATGATTCTCTGTTGGCTCAAGGTGAAAAAAGATGAACACGGTGTAGAGTCTGTTTATTCTGTCAGATCATCAGATCACAGTACTGAATGGCCCAGTTGGAGATGGCCTCTGAGTCTCAGAGCCCAGGACTAGGGCAGAAAGTGGTCCATGGCCTCTGAATGTGAGATTTGGCATGTTGGCTGGTCCTGGGGAAGAAGCAGGTCCTCTCAAATCAATGTTCAACTGCAGAGCAGAAAATGGTAAAGTTGGGCAGCACCTGTGGCTCAGTGGGTAGGGCGTTGGCCCCATATATTGAAGGTGGTGGGTTTAAACCTGGCCCTGGCCAAACTGCAACAAAAAAATAGCTGGATGTTATGGCGGGCGCCTGTGGTCCCAGCTACTCTGGAGGCTGAGACAAGAGAATTGCCTAAGCCCAGGAGCTGGAGGTTGCTGTGAGCTGTGTGATGCCACGATACTCTACTGAGGGCAATAAAGTGAGACTCTGTCTCTAGAAAAAAAAAGAAAATGGTAAAGTTTTTTTTTTTTGAGACAGAGTCTCACTATGTTACCCTTGGTAGAGTGCTGTGGCATCACAGCTCAAAGTAACCTCCAAATCTTGGGCTTAAGCGATTCTCTCACCTCAGCCTCCCGAGTAGCTGGGACTACAGGTGCCCACCACAATGCCCAGCTATTTTTTTGTTTTTGTTGCAGTTGTCATTGTTGTTTAGCTGGCTTGGACTGGGTTCAAACCCGCCAGCCAGGGTGTATGTGCCTAGCACCCTAGCTGCTGAGCTACAGGTGCCAAGCCAGAAAATGGTAGTTTTGAAAGCTGTTGATCTGATGGACAAAACCACCAACACCGATAGAAACTCAACCCCATGAGCTAGGTGACAGACCCTGGCACCTTCCTCTCCACTGAGCTTCAAACCAGTAGCAGTAGTGCCAAAATCTGCCTGCCACTAAGTCCCATTGACTGCTGGGAATGAAGAAGTCCTGGAGACAAACTGCTGTGACCACATGTCATTGCCTGTGTCTAAAATGAAGGGTGGCTGGGGCTCTGTGCCAGGAAAGAGCAAAGGCAGGACATTGTGATGAAGAAGCTTCTGCCAGACAGATAGCCATCTGTGTCCAGGATCACTCACACCTCCCCTCACCCCAGCACAGTAGCTCATGCCTGATGTAGTAGGAACAGAGAAAATGAAAGGAATGAAAAGTCAATCCCCCTTGCATGAATCACAGTTACTTTTAGAAGAACTTGCTGTAGGCATTTCATGTCTAATCTCTGATTCTCAGAACTCTGCAAGGTGAGTATGACCACAGTGCTCTTAATCTAAGGGGATGGAGAAAATTCCCCCAGGGTCACCTATCTTGCAGGAGGTAGACTGGAAGTGGATCCCAGCTCCTCAGCTCCTCCTGCACGTTTGTCCGTCTCTCTCTGCTTCCCTCCCTGACAAGGGCTCTTCTCTCTGGAGGTGCTGCGTGGGCACCTAGAGCCCTGGGGAGATGTAGAGTCCTGCAGTTTTGTAGGGTAACAGGGAAAGGGTTTTCTCACAGAAACAATGTTACCTATATAAGGGGGTTGGGTATAGCTGTAAGATTTATCCTAATTCACAGGTAACACCAAATTTTAAGTGCCCTATGACATAAAGAATAATTTTGACCATGGAAAAACAAGTTGGGAATTCTAAATAGCAGAGTTGAAACAAATGTGTTTTGAGTTCAAGTGTAATGGTCCTGTGAGGTATGATCTGAGGATTTAGCCAGCTGTCACAGCTACACTGGGCACTGGAGAACCAGCTCATGTGACCATAATTTAAGACGTTTGATGTGAATTGGTCCTGTAGCTAATCACTTTCACTCTTCAATATCTCAATTCCAAAGTGCATTATCTCTTACAAATATGTAACCTGTGACAATTCAGAATAGTTTATCCAGGGTAACATTAGAGGCCTTCTGTATGGCACAGATGCCAGCAGAGATGAGATAGTGTTCAATTATGGAATTTATTTCATTAAAGAGTGTTCAACATTGATCAAAGCATGCAATATAGAGAGGGAGACATGAATTTTCACATTTTTCATTTCTGAAGATTATAGCAGATATTCTCAACAAATTTGTCAACTAACCCTAAGCAGAAAATCAGTAAAACTGCAACAGCAACAATAAAAAACAAGGTGTCAGGCATCCAGCAACATCTCACAAAAAGGGAATCAATCTGTCAGGGGCCCCCTGTGCCATGAGACTTAAAGCAGTGGGGTGCAGTGGCCTTCTGCATATTCACTCCAGAAACATAGCAGTGAAAACCATTCAGCCTTGGCCTCTAAGCTCCTGGAGGCTTCAGGCAATATCCCCCAAAGATTGTGAGTTCTGATCGGTGAAGCCTGTAAGGCTCTAGAGTAAGATTTTGAGTTTTGACAAATAAAGACACAGAAAAGATATCTCAGAACACACAAGCCAGAGACGAGGCTAGGAGAAGGTGTTAGGCAAAGAAAACAGATTCCTAAAATATTCACAGTGAAAATAACCACAGCCTTTACCCTTTTCCTGTCCACAGTTGCAGGAATCCAGGCCCTCCTCCTCCTGGGAAATGACTGAGGTCTTGAATCTGATAAATGCCAGAGCAGGGACGTGGACTCATTGTGACTTGTATGTTCTTCTGTGTAGAGTAAGAAGCCCCCATGTCCCCTCTGCCATCTCACTGTCTATCCCATACACTGGGTCCCTCACCAGAGACTCAACCTTTACCAAATGCTTGGGAGACCCTTGAGCCCCCCACCCCTGTCTAAGGAAGACCTCACAGAGCCGTTTTCCAGGTGTTCTCATACATTGGTCAACTGGGGACAGGTCAGGACTCAAACTAGCTGGAAATCAACACTGAATTGGTAGTTTCCCGACGTGTGTCAGGGAAAATCGCTTATAACTTAAGCAAAGATCAAAAATTAAAATGAGAACAGCCTAGAGCACTGTGTCCTTGTCTTCATGCCCTGAAACACTTTTTAAAATCCCTTGATCTGGGCTCGGTGCCTGTGGCTCAAGTGGCTAAGGCGCCAGCCACATACACCTAAGGTGGCAGGTTCAAATCCAGCCCAGGCCCGCCAAAACAACAATGACGGCTGCAACCAAAAAAATAGCCGGGCATTGTGGCGGGTGCCTGTGGTCCCAGCTACTTGGGAGGCTGAGGCAGGAGACTCGCTTGAGCCCAGGAGTTGGAGGTTGCTGTGAGCTATGATGCCATTGAACTCTACCCAGGGGGATAGCTTGAGGCTCTGTCTCAAAAAAAAAAAAAAAAACCCTTGATCTGGTATTTGACCTGACTCCCATATCTGACTAGGTATTAATAAACACTGAGGAACAGAAATGCACTAGTATAGTAGTAAGGACAGTGGGAAACATCTGCAAGAACTAATCACAATGTTTTACAGTTACAATTTTAGAGGAGTAAATTTCCATAGATATTTCATTTGTTAGTAGAGTTCTATAGTGCAGAATAAACAATTTAATAGAACAGAAAAAGGAAGCTCTAAAAATAGGAAATAGGAAATAAATGTCTCCTGTCTCAAAGTGGACCTCATGGTACAATATTGATCCAGAAAGACACAGCAAGAAAATGTCCTGTCTCATCAGCACTTTCAGCCCACATTCTAAAATGTTACTGCTGTTATCCGTCCCAAATGTAAGAAAAATAAAGCTTTCAGCACTGACTTAAGGAGGGAGGGAGAGCTAACTGTTTCTCTTCTGGACTAAAGTCTTCCTTTGGGTCAGGAGTAACAGTGAGACCCAACCTCACTGGAGAGGCCAGAGCTCCACCATTCACAGGAGACCCATCGAAGTCCCATCTGGCTGGGGGACCTGATAAAAAGTGTCTTGCTACCCCAGGAGACTCCTGTTATCTTTAGTAACTAGTTGGGACTGTTTCCAGGAAACAGAACAATCACCCCCGAAAGGAGAAGCAGAGTGTGTGGACTGTCTCTTGCAAGTTAAGCTGCTGCCTTCACAGTGAGCTCCTACCTCTCTGTGCAGCACCCTGGGTACCAGGTTTCCTTGGTGCTGGTGTTGCCATCCCATAAATTTCTTGCATTATTTCCAATTTTGAAAATAGAGGGAGAATGCATTGAATAAGAACTAGAACACTAATTTCTTTATTAGACACTGACAGTTTTACTTTAAAACTCCAAAAACATCCTTAAAAATGTCTATCACAATCACTCACCTGCACCTCCAGCAGGCAGCCTCCCAGGTCCCGTCTGCCATCTTCCTTTCAGTATTTTAGTCCTCAGCTGTGGGAGATAAACACATTCACATTCAGGCTATGCAGAAAATCAAGGAAAAAATCTTACACAGTAGTGTGTAGCTTTCGTGTCAGAAGTGGTCATCTGAAAAAGCAAAACCAGAAACTATGTTTAGGGGGGTCTCAGGGCCATGAGTTCACCTGCTTTAGGTGCTGAAGGATTCTGCAAGTGTCAGGCAGATAGATGCACATTATCTTGGTGTCTGCACTTGAGCTCTGCTAGCTGTGGCTCTTCTTTCATCTCTTGAATTCTTTTCCTATGGGGTAGATGTGTTTTCATCAGATAAAGAACAATAACTGAGTATGATTTTAAATAATCTGCCCATGTTCCCATTATCCTCCCATTAGTACTTTTACACGGTTTATCCATACAGGCAAAACACATTAAATATGACTCCAAAAGTACAGTAGGAACAGAACTGCCGTAATATTGTTTCCTTTTCAATTATGGAATGTCTGTCACCTTCTGAATTGAGAATATTTTCTCACTCATTCTCAGTATTTCCCTAATTTTTCCTTCCTTTTATCTTTATCATATAGCTCTATTCTCCTTGTACCAATGTCCTTACCACATTTCATAGAGCAGTGACAACTGGGTTTATAAAATAGCACAATCATTTTTATGAATGTGGTTCATCCTACACCAAAATGCTTTCCTAAAGCATTATGGCACCACCACCATAATCCTAAAGATTATGGCACCACCACCATAATCTTTCCTAAAGATTATGTTCACCAACCCTTAAAATATTGGAATGAATGGAGTTTTCACTCAGTCTGGGCAGCACTGGGGATCAGGAAATGGTTAGTAACTTAACAGTATTTGGTCATTTGTAAAACTCAAGGTACTTTGTTTTTCTTTTGTGAATTCTTTCTCCATGCATGTGTCTTCTGGACATTTGTTTATCTTTGTGTATTAATTGTGTCTAAGCTTTGGACAAATCTTATAAAAAACAAGTCCAACAGGGGTTCCTGAGAGGCTGGTGTTCCGTCTGTAACTCACTTGTAGATTTCTATTTCTTCTATTTTCTTCACCTCCTACAGAGGCCTTTTACTTTCTGCCAGCTTAGTTCTTTTGTCCTTAGATTCCTGAGATGCAGTAATTTCTTGGGGTATAAAATTAAGCCACAGTTTATGTCCCTTTGAATATAAACTGTTGCTATGGTATCAGTAATTCAATTTCATATCATTGTTTAGAGAAAGGTTCAGCCCCAGATACCCACATTTTTTTCTGTGGCGAACAGCAAGAGAAAATGTAGAACTCAGTTCACTCAATGGACAAAAAGGCTCAAAAATTCAATTATGGTAAAACTTAGCAGCCAAATTCTTCCCAAGTTTGGGTTTTTGACCCCCTGACTTCTCTGAACTCTAAACCTGACACGTGTAGTGTTAGTGATCTCATTGGCAACTTTATTCCTTCCCTCAAATGTTTTGCTGTGATCCTTCAAAATAAAGTTGAGTCATTAACAATTATTGATTACATTTTCCTCTGTTTTTATGATGCAATGCTAGTAAACCCAAGGGATTTTACCTTAACATTAGATGCAATAGCAAAAAAGAATCTTATTTTTTTCTTGTCCAGTCTTGGAGCCATTTCTTTATTTCATTGATCTACAAAAATATGTAATAAAAAATCAGAATTCAAAAATATTAATTATAGGGATAGAAACAGCACTTTGAGTTAGAACCCACATGAAATACCAGTGTTGTGAAACAATTGCAAAGAAAATAGAAACCTATAAATCTTACCTTGATATTGTGGATAAGATATCAAGGAGAATAAGAGAGAGATTTAAATTTGATGTCAAAACATAAGAAATATTTACAGTTTCTGCTAGTGAAAATATTTATCCAATGAAACTATAGTTCATTTGTTGAACTATTTAGTTCAACATAGGAAATTCACAGCGTTGAGTGTTGTGAAACATTATGTCAGAATATGACACTGTGGCAAGCTGAATGCTCTGAACTAAAGGAAATTGCAAAGCCTCAGACTCAGTCCTCAGAACCAAGGTCTCTTTCTGATCTTCTGCCACCCTGATCTCTGATCTCTGATCTCGTTTTGTGGAATCACTAAGAGGAACTGTCTCTGCAGGTTTCCGATCTCATTAAAGGAAGTTCCTCAGAATAAATGGAATTGTATTAAAACTTCATCCATAGAAATACTATGAAATGGCCAAGAAAGATTAGCCACCAGGGAATTCATTTCATTTATTCTTCTGAGGTCAGCCCCAGTAGATTTCCTGAGAGACTTTATCTGCATAATAAGACAACTGCTGTGCACAGTGAACTTCTGCCCCTCACTTGCCAGGACTTGCAGTCACCTTCCCTGGACCTTAGATATCTTGTTCCAGGCCACTTGTTTTTTGTTTGGGCTCATTCATTTCCCTGAAAAAGCATTTGTTGCCCCTCTAAACGGCCTACACCTCCATGTCCCTGTCTCATATGGTCAGGGTGCTATTTAAACTTCAGCACCTGACCCTTCTGTGGCTCTTACTTTGCATGGCTCCTATGTTAATGCATGTTCACAGTTCATGTGCTTTTCTCTCCTATTAAGTTGTTGTCAGTTCATTTCAGCAGTGAAGCTTCAAAGAGCAAAGGAGCTTTCCCTTCCACACCACAGTAAGATTAAAAATAAGATCATAAGGCATTTCTTACAGGAATTTCTGATGAAGAACACAAAGAAAAATAACTTATTTAGCCCCCCCCCAAATACGTTTATATTCTAGTAAATGAACATCAATCTACATAAGAAAGGAAACAATAAGTTAATAAATCATAGAAAGGTTGCTCTCAGGCCACAAAATTATCTAGAAATTAATAAAAGAAAGATAGCTATAAAACTACAAAAGATTGAACAACGTATTTCTAAAAGACACATGGGTCAAAGAAGTTTTCTTAAGAGAAATTTAAGAATCTTTCAATATAAATTCTAATAAAATAAGAGATAATGGAACTCAGGGGATGCAGCACTATGAGTGAAATTTATAGCACTGAGTATAAATAGCAGTTCAAATGACTGTAAAATATCTGCTTATTTGTAAACACACATAGATGATATATGTTAGTGTACTCACCGCAGGGGTAGTTCTCCAGAAAAAAAATGTCGAATGTGCATGGTGATAAAAATTGACTTCCAAAGAATTCCCAAGAATTCCAAAGAATTCAAGGCCCAGGTGAAAATGATCAGGCAGCATACAGACAAGCTGGAATAATAACATTTGAAATAATGTGATGTCTCAATGAATTTACAATATATCAGCCATGAAGAATGGATCATCCCAGGGCGGTGCCTGTGGCTCAAAGGAGTAGGACGCCAGCCCCATATGCCAGAGGTGGCGGGTTCAAACCCAGCCCCAGCCAAAAACTGCAAAAAAAGAAAAAAAGAAAGAATGAATCATTCTCAGACACCCAAACCCATCCTCCAAGAGGAAACTACACCATGAGAGATCTCCAGGGAATTCCATTGCCTCAAGAAAGTTTAGAAGTTTCCAGGTTCCTGGTTTATGTGTGGCTGACAGTGCTATTAGATATGAGAATGATGGGGATTTTTTGTTCTAAAGTCATTATCTTTTTTCCCTCAAACTTATTTATTATTCAAACTGACATGTAAAATTCCATTTATTATGTATAACATGATTTTTGAACCATACATACATTGTGGAAAGGTTAAATCCAGCTAGCCGATAAGTGCATTAACTTATATAATTACTGGGTGTCTCAAGTAGACTGCAGTTTCGAGCTCACAAGGGGCCTCCCCTCTCCTGTGTCTAGTGTTGGGTAAGAATTCAGTGTTTACTTGGGTTCATGGACAGGTTACAGAAGTGGTGAGTAAAATGGGCAAGTTCAGCCTCTTTACCTCCATGTCCAGGCCCTTTCTAAGTGCCTTGAGGTCACCAGGAAGGAGGTATGGGGGTGAGGGAGCTAATAGGGATCAGGAAGGGTTGCAACTGGGGAGTGTGAGGGAAGGAGGTGTGGAGGGTAGGGGGTGTTGAGCCTCTGGGATGAGAAGTTGGGTTCTGGAAAAGTATTGTGGTCACACCAATTCCTTGAGGCATGGGAGTAGGGCTTAATGACAGATCAGGGTATGAGCAGTTTCAACAACTAGCAGTCCCCAAGGGGCACTGCTCCTCACAAGAGTATCCTGTGAGTGAGACTCTCAGGGTAATTTGGAGGGGCACAGAGTTCTGTTACCCTCCAAACCTTGCTCCTGGGTGGTCACTGCTCTAGCAACTACAGTTTTAAGGAGTTCCTTCCTCCTAGAACCCCCCCCCCCCAAGGTTTCCCATGGTCAGTTTGGTTACAAAACAGAGAGAATGAGTGATGACAGCACCTTAGGAAGGATCCAGCACACAAATAGAGAGGGAGGTTGCACACTCCTCTCTCCAAATTCATGTAATAACAGTACACCAGTAAGATGTGAAGATTCTAATGGCAAACCATTGCAGTCATTTATTTATTATCTAACACCTTTCTATGCCACAAGTGTTCAAGACACAGTAATTTTAAGTATACAGGAAACATTTAGAAAAATTAACTATTTTTTGGTCCATATGCAAATCGCAATGTATTTCAGAGGAGTATATCACACTGCATCTTTCTGATAATGTAATTTTGCTAGATGTAAATAATAAAGACCTTCCTAAAAATTTTCTACATGGTGGAAATTCAGAAGTAGTCTTTTGAGTAAATTTAAGAAAAAATCCAAGGTAAAAAATGACTATGTTTGATATGAATGACATGATAGTATGGTAATAAAACATCTCCTCTGGGCTGTGAATTCTACTTTGTGTAACAAGACTGTGTGCCTGTACATCTTAATACCTGAAAGAGGGGTGGGTGTACCATTTATCTATATCACCTCACTTCCAGAGACCTCGGACTTTAAATTTTGGACCCCAATGGGGAGAAAAACTAAGCTGACTTTGGCAGTTGACCTCCCAGGTACCTCCAAGGAACTTGTGCATTTTAGAGAGAAAGTTCATCAGCTTCTGGGGCATTTGGGGACAATATCCAAGAGCTTAGGGACAATACCCAGAGAGCTTGGCAATACCTGGAATTATGGACGGGGAGGGCCAAGCTGGTGAGCAGGGACCCAGGGACTCAAGTGACCAGCATAACCTTACTGACAACCACCTTTCCTGGGTCCTCAGTGGAACTTCCTAGAGGTCTTTTTCTGTTTGACTTCACAGACTGTTTCCAAACTTATTCAGGCCTCTGACAGGTTCTAATCATTGTTGTATACCGTATAACTCTTTATTATTAACAAGTGGATGTCACCCAATCTCCTGTCAATTCCTGTAAAATCTTCTGGCAGAAGGTAGGGGATGATGGTGGTGCTGGGTTAAATCAGGGAAGTTTAGATTAAATTTGCATGTTGATATAACAAGAGGCAAGAGGGAGAAATGGTATTTATCAGAACTCATCTTAGGGAAGCATTCTATGTAACTAAGAGTGAGATTTTTAATAACCCACAAAGCATGCTTGAGCTTACAGGTTTGAGACTAGCCTGAGCCAGAGCGAGACCTCATGTCTAAAAATATCTAGGCCTTGTGGCGGGCACCTATAGTCCCAGCTACTTGGAAGGCTGAGGCAAAGGATCACTTGAGCCCATGAATTTGAGCTTGCTGTGAACTATGACGCTACAGCACTCTACTGAGGGCAACAAAATGAGATTCTCTTTCAAAAATAAAATAATAAAATAAAATAACCCATAAAGTGGTGAGAGAAAAGATCCCAAGAATTTCCAATTATACTTAACGTAAAATATACTACTTTTCAAAGTATAAAACAAATTCATGCTCCCATTGGCAAGATGAGAGAATTACCATTGTTCCACATCCTTGTCAACAGGTGTTATTGTCAGAAATATTAATTTTTGCCAGAGTCAACACACAAAATGATACCTCTTTGCCCCTCTAGATCCTGACAAATGCTCCCAACATGGAAGAAGGATCCTCATTTATTAAGGTTCTTCTTACAGTTTGATTGCAAAAATTGACTTAAACTAGAGCCTGCATGAGATCTAACAATTAAGTTCATGAACTTATCCTAGAAAAAAGTGCTATATTCCTCATTTTGAATACCACTATGGTGACCTTCCCTTTGGGAAGCTATTTATCAACACTTAGTCCACCCCTCAAGACAATTTTGGATTTCTTTTTTGGAATGGCTATCAGAGTTGTCATTGTTTACCCTTGATGTGCTGAATGTCATCAAAATGTCTTCCTGTCAATATTTCCTTTATCTTTAGATAAAGAAAAAAGTCATTAGGGGCCAGATCAGGTGAATATGGGGTGTTCCAATATGGTTATTTATTTACTGACTAAAAATTCCCTCTTGGCCAGTGCGTGAAAGCTGGTGCATTGTCATGATACAAGAACCATGAGCTTTTTGCCATGACTTTCAGTTAATATTTGTTTTGAATGATTATTGTTATTCTCTATTGATGGTCTGCTATGCTTCTTATTATAGTCAGCCAATAATTTTGACTCCTAATTTGATGAAATTGTGCAATGTTTTTGTCAGTTCTGCTCATTACTGGCCACCCTGACCTCTCTTCATCAGTGATGCTTTCTCTCCGCTTCGGAAAACATTTACTCCATTTGTATACTGCTATAAACTGGGACTAACACATCCTTGATTTTGCTTCCACTCTAGCCAAGTTTAACAAGAAATTTATGAATGTTTGTTCATTGCTCTATTTCAATCTCTGACATTCTCATATGATACCCAAAACATGCAGCAGTAGGAAGGAATGCCACTCAGCAAGACACTGCCACATGTCTCCATGAGCACAACTATGAGACACTGATATAACCAAGGTCATGAAACCTTACTGAGTTGTTTGTACAGTGCTACCAACATGAGTGCGTGGTGGCAAGTTTGGGAACTTAATTGCCAGAACTATTTTAATGAAAATATTGACTCAAGAAAACTGTCATTTTGAAAACAGGTTTTAGATTCAAGTACTTTGTCACTACTAGCAACTAAGTCCCTCCACATCCAGTTTCAACAGTATACAATTCTGTTTGATAATAGACCCATAAAGCAAACCAGTAAAACTGGTATACTGGCAACACTGGGCTTATATTTCAACCTGATACTGACTGGCTGGGGCTGAGCATTGTCTCCTTTATTTAATAGGATGATCTCCAATTTGACACAGTTCCCACCATCCCCTATTTTGTCACTCTTGCCTGCCTCTCCATTACTGCAGCTGGCCAGCCCCTGTGGACATTTGAGCTTCAAATCTCTGATCCAGACCAACAGCCCAGGAGGAACAGGGATTTCCACAAGGTTGCAAGGCAAGTTTAGTAGGAGAGCTGGTTCTGGAAGACCACTGTCTCTGTTAGATTTTCAACATACTGCCCTCCCTTGATTTACAGTGAGAATACTAGACTGAGTTATTATTTTTTCTACACAGATTTGTAGGTGATCTCACAGTCTTCCTTAAAATACTAACTCACTGTTTTCTCCAAAGACAGTACAAAAACCCCTTAATATATGAAGTGGCTAAAGACCACAAAAAGGGAGAGATATAATGAGGATATCTATTAACCCTTTATTGTGAATTGTGTTTCCAAGATGTGTATGGTGAAATCCTGACTCAAATATTTCAGAATGTGACTGTATCTGGAATTAGAGTCTTTAAAAAGGTAATGAATTTTAAATGATGTCATTAAGGTAGGCCCTAATCCATGACTGATGTCCTGGTAAGAAGAGGAGAAGATTAGGAGATAGCAGAGAGAAAGAGAGAGAGAATGAATGCCATGTGAAATTGAAGCCAGCCACCTACAAGTCAATGAGAAAGGACTCAGAAGAAACTACCTTAATCTTGGACATCTAGGTTCCAAAACTATGGGAAAGCAAATTTCTGTTGTTTAAGTCACCCAGTAAGTGACAATTTCCCAAGGCAGCCCCAGCAAACTAACATACCCCTCTTGACCAAATTTTTAAACAGTTACTTTGGCATCATCTGATCTAACTTAATCTTCATCAAGTCAGAGAATCAAGCACAGTGGCCCTTTGAGGAGCACTATGGTAGCCAAGAGCTTGGCGTTAAGGGTCAAACAAACAGGTTTAAATTCCAGGCCCTTCATTCACCACCTGCACAACTTTGGGTAATTATTTAACTTATAAATTCACTTCCCTATAAAACATGAAATATTGGCAACATCTGTTGCCTAGAGTTAGGTGATGACTGAATGTCATTCTGCACGGAGCATTTAGCACAGACTCAGGACAGATCCAGCACAGATAAGTTCCTCTAGAAATAAGAGCTACCATCAGTTAACTCTCTCTGTGATCAGAATCTAAACAAAAGGAATGGTAAAAAATTCTTGAATATAACACCAGAGGGGCCAGCTTTTCCTCTGATATGTGTAGGTATATAAGAACCTTATCTCACAGTGTTAAGAGGACTAAAATTCAGAGATATTGATATGCCTATGCCTATCTCTGTATGTATATATCTCTTTAGAGCCATCTCTATTTCTGTACCTATATCTACATTAATATCTGTCATTATACCTACATTTATCACTATAACTTGCTATATAGCTATATTGATTTTGACATCTATTGTCAATAACTACATCTAAACTATAGTCATGCACTGCAAACATTTGACCAGTGAAGGACAATAGTGGTCCTACAAGATTATACCACTGTATTTTTACTGTACCTTTTCTATGTACAAATATGTTTAGATACACTTGCCAATGAGTTACAATTGCCTGCAGTATTCAGTACAGCAAACAGGGCTGTAGCCTAGGAGCAATAGGCCATACCATACAGCCCAGGTATGCAGGAAGCCCTGCCATCTAGGTTTGTATACTCCATGATGTTTTCACAATGACAATATCTCTAATGGTGTGTTCTCAATGTAGCCTATTTTTTTAAATAATTAATTATTTTTTATTAAATCATAACTTTGTACACCGATGCATTTATGGGGTTCAGGGTACTGCTTCGATGTACAATGTGAAATGTTTACATTGAACCAAGTAACACATCCATCACAATTATACTCATTTCTTAATAGTTTTGAAATGT